AGAGAGGGGAGGTAATGCCTGTGAAAGAGAAAGGGGGCGGAAGCAGGACTGGAGAGGACAAGCTTTAAGGTCCTGATGCAGATCTTGACAACTGTGGAAGGAGAGACGTTAGGAAGCAAAACAGGGCAGAGAGAGCCCCAGAGGCCGTGCTGATCTGGCAGTCTGGGCCAGCCCACTGGAGAGCTCTGCCTGCCTGACAGGGAGGCCTGCACAGGGCAGCAGGGGCCAGACCGGGACACCTCCACTGTGCTCAGTCCTTGGCCAGGGGCTGCCTGGGAAGAGCGTGGTCTTCAGTCGAATGCTGTGCAGATCTTGAAGGCTCTGCAGCTGGAGGCTGTCAGCTGACTGCGTTCTTTGTAGACAAAGAGCAGTTCTTTCTTAAGGGACTGAGTGGCACACCTCTTTTGCTGCTGCAAGAAGGATGTTCGTTGCAGTGTTATTAAAATGACACAATTAGAAACAGTATTTTTTTTCCTATAGTAAACATGGAATACTCCTTTTCTAATTAAGGGGGTAAAGTAATGTCAAAATAAGATTGCATTTGTCTAGCAAGAAATGGGACGTGTAAACATCGCAGCACTTGGCGTCAGCAAGCTAAAACGGACGAGAATGGGGCACTTTCAGTCAGACGACTGCAGAGCGTTCCACCCCGGAAATGACAGGCTCGGAAGAGACGGAGCAGTTCTGGTCCTGGGGCAGGAGGCAGCACAGGCGGTCAGGGGCCGCGACACAAGGTCTCACCGGGGAAGGTCAGTCAGACTTCTGGGAGCACCTGTTAGCGTAGCCGTCACCCAAGTCTGTGCTCCAGCTGCAGACGCTGAAGATGGTGAAACAGTTTTCCCGCCGTGTCCAAGAAGAAACCGGTCACACAGCAAATCAAGACGTGCTGGTAATTGTAGGTGACTGGGAATGCAAAAGGAGGAAATAAAACAATTCTTTGGAAAATTTGGACTAGGGCTCAGAAGGGAAGCAGGAGACTGGCTCGTGGATTTCTGTGAAGCCAACATTCTGTCCATCGTGTATACACGCTTCAAGCAACGCGACAGGACTGTCTGCACGGGGAAGCTGTGTTCTTTCTGCCAAAACAAGACCAGGAGCAGACTGCGGTCCTGACCACGACTGTTAACATCAAACCTCAGAGTAAAGCTGAAGAAGAACACTGAACGGATCCTGGAGCCAGAACTAACGTAAACAGCATGCTTGGTGAATTCAAGGTCCAGGTAAAACCAGATTTGTGGTGTTAAACCTAATTGACCGAGAACCAGAAGAACTCTGGACTGAAACCAGAAATATTACTAAGGAAGATGCAGAAAGACAGTGCTTGAAACAAAAAGAAAGCTAAATCAAGATGGCTGACAGAAGAAACGCTGAAACTTGTTAAGGATGGAGGAGACGCAAAAGTTAAAGGTCCAAAAGCAGGGTGAGAATCGTGAACGCAGTTTTTCAGTAACTGTCACGTGGAGATAAAGAGAACCAGCCTAATGGCCACTGCAGAGAGAGAGAAGAGGACAGCCAAAAGGAACAAGAGGTCTCTTCCGGAAGATTCAAGAAGCCAAAGGGAAATTTAAACCCAGGTTAGGAATGCTGAGCGACCCACAGGGAAGCACACCCTCTGATCAGGAGAAAATAGAGGGAAGGTGGAAACCGTATGTGAAAGTCCACACAGAAGAGACGAAAGGATGACAGATGCCTCCGAAGAAGACTCCTATGAGGGAGAACCCGCAATTCTAGAAAGTGAAGGGAAAGCTGCCCTGGAAATGCTGGGAAGAAATACGTCACCTGGACTAGATGGGATATTGATAGCGTTACGTCAAGCCACAGAGACTGAATCTGTCAAAATCCTGACAAGAATGTGTCAACGAAACAATGGCCTGCAGACTGGAAACACTCGATGTACAGGCCAATCCCCAAGAAAGGCGCTACCAAGGAGGGCAGTGCCTACAGGACCATTGCTCTGATGTCCTGTGCGAGTGAGTGATGCTCCCGGAGCTGCAGCGAAGGCCTGTACCTCATGTGGACTAAGAAACGCCCGACGGCCAAGCTGCATTTCGAAAAGGGAGAGGCACACGAGATCCAACTGTGACTATCCGCTGGCTACCGGAGCGCTCCCGAGAATTCCAGAAGGTTAGTCTGTGTTTATAGACGACAGCAAAGCCTTTGCCTGCGTGGATCATGGGAAGCTGTGGGCTGCTCTGAGAGAAATGGGCGTGCTCGGCACTTGACTGTCTGATGTGTGAGCTGTGCTGTGGGCAAGAAGTCACGCCAGGACAGAATATGGAGAGACGGGATGCTTTCCTTTAGGCCAAGGTGTCAGGCAGCGTGCACTTTATCTCCCTATCTGTTTACTCTGTACGCAGAACCGAGCAAACGAAGAACTGGGCTGGGCTCAGACGGAGGAGGAGTGAAAACTGGTGGAAGAAACACCAACCGTCTAGGGTCCGCAGGTGACACCGTCTTACTGGCGGAAAGCAGCAGTGGCTTGAAACAACTTCTGACGAAAGTGGAAGAAGAAAGTGCCAAAGCAGGACTGACTGCATTTGAACGTCAGGAAGACAGAAATCCCACTGCGGAAGAAGTGCACAACTTTAACGTAGACAGTGGAGACACTGAAATCGTTAAAGAATCTGTCTGCCTTGGTTCAGTCATCGATTTAAACGGAGGCTGCAGCCATGGAACCAAGGGGAGGCTGAGACGTGGAAGGGCAGCAATGGAAGAATTAGCGAGGATCACCAGGTGTGAGGAAGTGTCATCAGACACCAAGGCCAAGGTTGTCCACACCCTCTGCTCCCAACCACTGTGTACGCATGCAAAAGCCGGACAGTGAAGAAGGCTGCAGGAAAAAATGGGTTCATTGGAAATATGGTGTTGGGGGAGAGCTCTGCGGACACCCTGGACTACCAGAAAGGCGACCGGTGGGTCCCAGAGCAAATTAGGCCTGAGCTGTCGCTGGAGGCAAAGATGATAAAACTGAGGCCGTCCTACGTTGGGCACACCATGAGAAGGCAGGACTCTCTGGAAAAGACAGTAACGCTGGGAACAGTAGAGGCAGCAGGAGAAGAGGAGGACCAAATAGGAGTGGGTTGACTCCATACAGGAAGCCGTAGGCCCGTGTCTACAGGAGCTGAGTGGGGCTGTGGAGGACAGGACATGTGGACATCGCTCATTCCTAGGGTTGCAGGAGTAGGAGCCGATGTGATGGCACATAACAACAAATTAAAGACTAGGGAAGTGCTTAAATAAATATAGAACATCCATGTATACTGTAGTATACAGAATAGAATGCTATACTGTAGAAACAATGAGGCAGATCTACATACTAGTGAAATGGTCTTCAGGATTGATGAAGCAAAAAACCATAATACAGAGCAATAGGCCACTGACATCTGTATAAACAAAAAAGACCTGTGTATTCACGTGTGCTTTACACACACCTCATCGATCTCTGGAAGGGTGCCTAAGAGTCTGGTGGCCTCTGAGGAAGAAAACTACTGAGGTACTAGGGAGTCAAGCGTAGGAAGGGAACTTTGCATTCTATTCTCATTGGCACCGGCTGCATTTTTTCTTCCTACATCCATAGCAATCTTATTTTTTTGAATGCCACGTTTCCTCAGTGTCTTGTGCTGCACTCGGAAGTAGGATAGCAGTGCCTTTTGAGGCAGTATTACTTGGAGATTTGCACAACTTCTCTTGTACCTCTCTTCCCCCATCCCTCACCATTGCAAACACAGTGAATATGTATTTGGTTTACAACTTGAGACAGTAAAAGGAACACCAGCTTTGCAGTCAGATCAGACCTGTATCTACAACTTACAGGCTTACATGATTTGAGGTAAGTTATTTAACCTTTCAGAATCCTAATTTTCTCATGTAGGCTACGGGAATTCATACATTTGTCTCAGATCTGTTGTAAGGATTAAATAAGAAACTGCTTAATGAGCTAGCATAATGGTGGGCATATAATAGGAGTTGTATAAATGATAATCATTTCTATTTTAATTGGATAACTAAGGAACCTGTTCAGATGTTAAAGTCCCTCCATTCCCAAATATACTGACATTGGAGCATTAACATTTCTCTTTCCTCTTTGCTACAGTGGAATACACCTAATTTTGAGTGCCGCCTTGGCTCCTAGAGTTTTTGGTTTTTGGAGGTTTTTGGTGAGGAAGAGTCACCCTGAGCTAACATCTGTTGCCAGTCTTCCTCATCTTTTTGCTTGAGGAAGATTAGCCCTGAGCTAACATCTGTGCCAGTCTTCCTCTATTTTGTATGTGGGTCTCCACCATAGCATGGCTGATGAGTGTTGTAGGTCTGCGCCTGGGATACAAACCCATGAACCTGGGCTGCCGGAGCAAAGCACACTGGACTTAACCACTACGCCATGGGGCTGGCCCACTAGAGTATTTTTTTTTAAGTGAAATAGCTCATTTTCCCTTTTTAATCCTATAAAGTATTTTAAGTAAATGTAATGTTCTTTGTCTTCCTGAATGTAAATGAGGTTTACTATTTTTTTACAATTTGTGTGTGTGTGTGTGTATTAGTGCATTAATGTATATTATATGTTGAATATTTCATGTAGTTTACTTAGATATCTATCCAGCAAGAAAACTACAGTTTTAAACATCAGTCAGTTGTGTAGATTACAAGTCAAAACTTGGTGGTAATGACAATATTAGATTTCCTTTATAAGGTAAATATATTATTTAGATATAGGTTTTTTTTTTTTTGAGGAAGATTAGCCCTGAGCTAACTACTGCCAGTCCTCCTCTTTTTGCTGAGGAAGACTGACCCTAAGCTAACATCCATGCCCATTTCCTCTACTTTGTACATGGGACGCCTACCACACCGTGGCTTACCACACGGTGCCACGTCCTCACTGGGGATATGAACCAGCAAACCCCAGGCCACCGAGAAGCAGAACGTGCGAACTTTACCACTGTGCCACTGGGCCAGCCCTAGATATAGGTTTTAATATCTGTTTTCTTTTTCTTTTTCTTTTTCAGCTCTTTCAGTCTCACATGGCAACAAAAACAACTTGTATATCCTCACAAGTTTCTGATGATGAACAGAGAGTGAGTATATCTTTTAAATAGATCCGTATCATACTGCAGATGCCTTTATGATTTCAAAATAACCACTCAGAGACCTCAGAGACTTGTTTGTACTTACCTTGAATGTGAATTAAATTTTATGTTGATTCAAGTTAAAAATCAATGATGGGTTGAATAACTGTTGAGTGTCCACGATGTCTCTATCTTACATGACGCTAAGCAAATTCCGACTGCCTCCACAGCGTTCAGTAGGAGGACTAGCACTGCTTTTGCTGGGCGTGCTTACCGAGCTCGGTGGACGTGGAGAGCTCCTTTAATGACGGAGAGCAGGAAGTGTCTGGGCGGCCCTGTCACATGCCTTCCTAAGTGTGCACTCCGACTATCATGCTTCCAGGTCCTTCTCACTGTGCCCGTGCAGGAGGAATGTGTTTGGTAATTCAGATTAAAATCTATAATAAAAAAGAGGGAGTAAATTTAACTTGGTGAAAGAGGTGAGTTGTCGATTTTTTTTAAAAAAGAAAATTGCAAATACAGCTTGGGTAATTCAATAAGGTTAATTAATTTCCTTTAGTTGTGTGTTCCAATAAGTCTCTTCTTGTTTTTCCCTCTTCCTCCTCACATGCTAAGGTCCCCACAGAGTTGAAAAACCATAATTTGACTGCCAAACTGCCATCGTTTTTATCTTTTTTTCTCATTGGTAATAGTAGTCTGTTGCTTCTTTATTTTATCACCTCACGGACTTTTTGAATTACTCTTTAATGTGCCTTCTAACACATTGCTCTGCTGAACTCTTCTAGTGACTGTCGACGAAAATAATCCATAGCCAATCTATAAATGAAAATTTGGGATGAGTTTATTCTGAGCTAAAATCTGAGGACCATGGCCTGGGGCCTTTCTTCCTGAAGGAAGAAAGGGCACCGAAGAAGTGGGGTGCACAGCGTGGTTATATACCCCCAAACAGGATGTTTCACATATGATTGAAATGTCCTTTTTACAAAAGTCGCGAGACTGCTCTGTCAGCACAGCGATTGATGGACACAGCAGGTAGGTCTGCTGTCTCGGTGAACACAGCAGGGTGGCAGGTCTGTTGTCTCGAGCTGGGTGGTCAAAGGTGAGCATAGCAATCAGTTCCTAGCCTAAGGAAAGATGCTTATCCCTAAGGAAATGCCCATGTAGGGGGAAGTTGCACATTTATCTTAAGGGCATTTGTTCTTGCCATAGTAAATCTTTAAAGCAGATATACAACGTGTGCTCAATGGCCACAGTCAGGCCTTGTTTGGAAAAAACAAAGTCAGGCCTAATTAGGTTTACACCAAATGGCTTCCTCATATGCTCCAATATATCCTATCGCTTGCCATTTCTGTTTGTCATGACCAGCCCATTGAGTGGCTGTTGCTTGGTCCTCCCTTTCTCTGGCCCCTCTTCTTCATCAAATTATGGTGACCACTCCCACATTTTTGAAAAGCTTCTTTTATTTCCATGACATTAAAATCTTGCAGCTTTAGAACCAGAAGGGATTCTAAGGCCATTGAGTTCACCTTTTATGTGATAAGCATGTGATTGTCACATACAAACTCTCCTAAGTGGTGTTCTTATCTTCTTGAGCACGTTCCTGACTAGGAAGCATGCTGTTCCTTCACTCTCTCTGTTTTCATCATAGAGCTATGCTTTCTTGACTAACAGGAATTTAACGGCACAGAAGAGAATGCAGTGGACTCGTTTTCAGTTGTTCCCTAAGCAATTGCTACAAATTTGGCTGCTTAAATCCACGCCTGTGTGTTAGCTCACAGTGCCAGGGATCAGAACGTCAGGCGGGGCACTGCTGGCTTCTCTCGTGGGGCCTCATGCTCAGCTGCGTTCTTGTCTGGAGGCTCTGCTTCCCAGCTCTTCCAGGTCGTTGGCAGAATTCCGTTCTTGCTGACTGGTTGCTCTCAGCTCCTAGAGACCACTCTTAGGTCACCACCAAATGGCTGTCTGTCACCCACACAGGAGGGGGCTCGGATGTTGAGTCCCCTCTGTGTGGCTGTCTCTTACCACACAGCAGGGGGCTGGGTTGTTGGGTCCCCTCCGGTGGTGGTCTCTCACCCTCAGAGCAGAGGGCTCCAATGCTGGGTCCCCTCCGGTGGCTGTCTGTCACCCATACAGCAAGGGGCTGGGATGTTGGGTCCCCTCTGGTGGCTGTCTGTCACCCATACAGCAGGGGGCTCAGATGTTGGGGCCTCTCCATGCAGCTGGCTGTCACCCACAAAGCAGGGGCTCAGATGTTGGGTCCCCTCTGTGTGGCTGTCTCTTAACTACACAGCAGGGGCTCGAATGTTGGGTCCCCTCTGTGTGGCTGTCTCTTAACTACACAGCAGGGGCTCGAATGTTGGGTCCCTTCTGTGTGGCTGTCTCTCACCCACACAGCAGGGGGGCTTGGATGTTGAATCCCCTTCTGGCTTCAAACCCCTTTCACTTGGAAGTTCACAGTCTCTTTTTAGGGCTCACCTGATTAGGTCAGGCCCATCCGGGATAATCTCCCTTTCTCAGGTTAACTGATCTGGGATGTGAATTACATCTGTAAAATCCCTTCACAGCAGCACCTAGATTAGTATTTGATTGAATAACTAGAAGGTATGGGTATGCGAGGGACCATCAGTCTTGGGGTCCATGTTAGAATTCTACCCACCATGTACAATAAAAAGCAAGTCTTTCTCACCTCCACCTTAAGACCACTCTTCTCAACCTCCCAGTCCACTGTCCAGTGGTAACCACTCTCAATAGTCTGTTACTACCCTTTGAGACATTTTCATCCATATTCATGTATATGTGAAAACATAGACTTTTTTCTTTACTCAAATCACAGTAAATAAATCACTGCTTAGATACTTAGCTTTTGAGATTTATCTATGTTGTGACATGTATCAGTGGTTTAGTATTCCATTGTATGGGTATACTACAATTTGTTTATCCATTCTCCAGTTGTTGGACATTTAGATTGTTTCCAGTTTTTTACTTTTTGGAGTAAAGCTGCTATGAACATTTGTGCACAAGTCCTTATATGGATATATGTTTTTGCTTATCTTAGGTACCTACAAGTGGGGTTGTTTTTGGTTGTATGGTCATGTGTATTTAACTTTATAAAAAATTACCCCCGTTTTCCAAAGTGGCTGTACCATTCTGCATTCACGTCGGCACACTTCTCAGAGTTCCAGCTGTGGACCATCTCCAGCAGTGGACATTATCAGCCTTTTTAATTTCAGCCATTTTTGTGGATGTTCAGTGGTGTCTTATTGTAGTTTTAATTCACATTTCCCTGATAACTAATAATGTTGAGCACTCTTTCATTTGCTTATTGGCTATTTTATCTACTTTGTGAAGTGTCTGTTCACTTTGAAGTGAAGTGTTTTTTATCCATTTTTTTAAAAAATGGGTTATTTTATTGTTGAATCATACGAATTCTTTCTGTATTCTGAATACAAGTGTTTTGTCATATATATATGTGTAATATTTTCTCCCAGTGTGTGACTTACATATTCCTTGATGATCAGACGTTTTTAATTTTGATGAAGTAGACAAATAGATAAATAATAAATTGTTACAATACCACACTTTTTGGTGATTGTAGCTTTATGATTAGGTAGGACTTCTTCAACTTTGTTCTTTTGTAAAATTGCTTTAAGTATTCTAAATCTTCTCCATTTCCATATACATTTTATAATCATTCTGTCAGTTACTGTATTGACAGCGTATCATTGGCTCTTGCTCTTTTATCCAATGTGACAGTTTCCTTCTTTCAACTGAAATGTTAAGACCTGCACTGCCCAGTATGGTAGCTTCTAGCCACATATGGCTGTTTGAGTTAGTTAAAATTAAATAAAATTTAAAAATTACTTCCTCAGTTGCATTAGTTACATTTCGATTGCACAATATCTGCATGTGGCTAGTGGTTACCTGTTGCACAGCTCAGGTATAGAACATTTCCATCAGCGCAGAAAATTCTGTTGGACAGTGCTGCTGGTTTAGACCATTCATATTTAATTTAATTGTAGATATAAATGCGTTTAATTCTGCCAATTTGCTGTTTGTTTTCTATTTGTCCTTTCATTTTTCTTCTTTTCCTGCTTTCTTTTGGATTAATAGAGTATTTTATGATTGCATTTTATTTCCATTATTGGGTTATTAGCTATTACTCCTTGGTCTTTTATTTTTTAAAATATTAATTGATGTAAGCTTTAACTTATCACACACTACCTTCAAATAATATTATTGTACTTCCTGTATGATATAGAAACCTTAGAACAGTGTGTCTCAATTCCTTCTCCCATCTCTTGTGCTCTCATTATCATACATTCTACTTCTCCATTTCTTTATCATACATTCTACTTCTCCATTTCTTTTTTTTTTTGAGGAAGATTAGCCCTGAGCTAACTACTGCCAATCCTCCTCTTTTTGCTGAGGAAGACTGGCCCTGAGCTAAGATCCATGCCCATCTTCCTCTACTCTATATGTGGGACGCCGACCGCAGCATAGCTTTTGCCAAGCAGTGCCATGTCCACACCTGGGATCCGAACCGGTGAACCCCGTGCCACTGAGAAGCGGAACATGCGCACTCAACTGCTGCGCCACCGGGCCGGCCCCAACTTCTCCATTTTTATAAATCTGTAATACATTGTTGTTGCTTTAACAGTCAAGTATATTTTCAAGAAATTAAAACAAGCAAAAAATTTTCTTACATTTACCCACAGTTTTATCTTTCTGTTGATGTTCATTTTTGTAGATCTGAGTTTCCATCTGTTGTTATTTTTCTTTTCTCTTGAAGAACTTTTTAACGTTTCTTGTAGTGTAGGTCTGCTTGCAGTGAATTTTCTCACGTTTTGTTTGTCTGAAGGTGTATTCATTTTGCCTTCATTTGTGAAAGTGTGTTTTCATTGGATGTAGAATTATAGGTTGTCATTTTTTTTTCTTTTGGCAGCTTGTTGATGTTTTATTGTCTTCTGGTTTGTGTTGTTTCTTCTGAGAAAACTATGATTATTTTAGATGTTTTACTTGTGTGCAGTATGTTTCCACACACCTCGTTTCTTTTAAAGTTTTTCTTTATTTTGAACAGCTTGCTCTGATCCTGGTCGTGGGTTCCTTTGGATTTTCCTGTTTGTTCTTCTCTTGTTTCTCTGAGTTCATGTTTAGAAAACTGAAAAGTTTGCAGTGACTATTAGCTGCTTCTTTCCTCCCTCTCGCTGCCACCACCTCTCTTTACCATCTAGTGTTTCAGTTATAGGTATATTAGACCATTTGATATTTTTCCAGCTTTTTGAGGCTCTGTTATAGTTTATCTTTTCTATGAGAGATTTTTAGCTTGGATAAATAAAGATATTTACCTTGGGTAATAATTATGGAACAAACCTTCCATTGTTTGACCTGCTCTTAATACTCTTCAGTAACTTGTTTATTTCAGATGTTGTATTTTTTCCATTCTAGGAGTTCCATTTGTTGCCTTTATTGTTGTTGAGAGCTTTCATATCTCTCTTAAAATTCCCTATCATGTCACCCATTATATTCATCACTCTTTCCTGTAGGAAAAGAGCATATTTTTCTTCTTTAGCATATTTATCATAGTTATTTTAATGTTGAAGTTCTTATCAGCTAATTAAACATCTGGTTCATTTGCAGATCTTCTGTTGACTGTTTTTTTTTTTTTCCCTTGACTGTGAATCTCATTTTTCTGCTTCTCCCTATGTAGTAATTTTTGATTGTAGGGTGGATATTGTGGATGACACATTGTAGAGTTGCTGCGTTCTGTTTCTTCTCCCAGAGTGTTGACCTTTGTTCTAGCAGGCAGTTAAAGTACTTGCGGGTCCCAGTGATCCTGTTGAGTCTGGTTATAGGTGTTGTTAGGGCGGGTCTGCTTCAGTGGTGCCTTCAGCACTGGGGACTAATTTCTGATTCCTGCGATGTAATCCTGAATCCTAAATGTGGCCCATATGTTTTCAGTCAAAAGTCTGAAGTGTTTACCAAGCCCTTTTAACTTAGAGGCTTAAAATTCAAGCTCCCTAGGATAGCAGCCTTGCACAGTCTGCGTAGCTCCTTCCGGGTCCCATGTCCTCTCAGCCAGACTCTTTGTATCCCCCTGTACATACACAGTTCAGCAGTCAGCCAAAGATTCCAGGCGAGTGTGTTTGCACATTTTGTACTCTCTCCTCTGGATTTTCTTCAGTTTTTTGTTGCCCTGCCTGCCCTTATCTCCAACTGGCTTCTCAGCCCAGTAAGACAACTTCCTTCTTGTCTCTATCTTCTTTGTGCAGCAATGGTTGAAGAATGCCCTCAGGGAAAAGCTAGAAAATCTGCGCCTCACCTTGTATGGTTTCCTTCTCTCAAGTCTCATTCCCTCCAGTGTCTTTCTGCCTTTGGTTGCATTCCAGTACCTTAAAAGAATTGATTATAATAGTTATTAGCAGGGATGTAAGTGTGACGTAAGTTACTCTTCTCTCACTAGGAGCTGGAACTGTATCTATAATTTCATATTGTACTTTTTTCACTTGACATTTGAATGTAAGAATTTAAGTTATTAAAAATTTGTTTAAATTTCTTTAATGACTTTAAACATTCCTTTTTATTAATGAATATGCTGTAGTTTACTTGGATATTTCCCCATTTTTAGAAATCAAATACTTTAATGTTATAAACAGTGCTGGACTCTCATCATATGAAGAGAAGAAGAAATATGTGTTTTGAGGGTCTGAACACAAATTTCTCACAAATTTACTAAATCATTTGTGTCTTAGAGGAGATGTAATGATAAAATCTTTAGTTTCTTTGATAAATTATATTTAACCTTTCAAATGTATCTATATCTTATTTTAGTAAAACTCGTTTTTATTGCTCCTGTTTTTGTTTCCCTTCAGCAAAAAAGAGAAAATGTTCGTTCTTTAGCTATGGGTGGCCATGTTGGTTTTGAGAGTTTGCCTGATCAGCTGGTCAACAGATCCATCCAGCAAGGCTTCTGTTTTAATATTCTCTGTGTGGGTGAGTGCCAAATCCTTCCTCTGACTCCTTCCTTCATATTTCTCGTGCTCACTTCGTTCTTGTCGTAAGCAGTATGATGTTCATGTTATCAATTTGAGATCATGCTTGCAGATTTTGTTCAGTTAGTTAAATTCTATCAATTTCCTTAGCTGTACTGCTTTACACTTTGTGTTTGCTCTTTAAACATTTCAGTGCTTTCTTCAGAGTTGTGAATTAGTTAGCATACCTACTCATTTTTATGCTCTGCTGATGACTCAGTGGACCAGCCTTAGCATGTATCCCTTTCATGACCAACCCAGCCTTTGAAATACTTGAAATATTTGGGATCCTTGAAACCACTAAGAGTTTATAGTTTTATTTTTTCTCATCTGTCCTGTGTGCCTGTGAAGATGTACCTTTGTTTCTTTCAGGGGAGACTGGAATTGGAAAATCAACGCTAATTGACACATTGTTTAATACTAATTTTGAAGACCATGAATCCTCACATTTTTACCCACATGTTAAACTTAAAGCTCAGACATATGAACTCCAGGAAAGTAATGTTCGATTAAAATTGACCATTGTGAATACAGTGGGATTTGGTGACCAAATAAACAAAGAAGAGAGGTACGTGTTTTCTTCTTGTAAAAAAACAAGTTTTTCTTATTTCAAGATATTTAACTTCTTGCCCCATAAGCTATTGTTTGATTTTCTACTATGGAAATCTATTTCTGTCCTCCCAGACTTTAATTTTTTTAATAATTAAGTAGTAGTTTGTTCTAATTGACATTTTTCTCCAGTCATCTAATTTCTTTAGAGTAATTTGAATCACATTATTAAAATGTGTATTTCATCAAAAATATTATTAATTATTTCCGGCTGTGTCAATTCAGTGTAGATTAAATGTTTTGTACTAATTTTCAGGAGAACTTATCTTGTTAAGGAAAAAAGAAAACAAGACATACAGTGGCAAACATACACTGGCCAAATCATTGGTGCATGAATTTTTTTTGTGAAATTCTAACCAAATTAGCCAGGTACATTATTTAAGCATTGCAAGAAAAGTTCGCTATAAAATTTCTATTTATATTTCATGTTATGTCATTCTCTCTCCTATGATATTGTAAAGATTGATTATAGATTTTGTATGAAATTTAAAATATGAAAAGGGGAACTAGATTAGGGTAAAGCAATAACTCTATTCTTTTTTTCTTTTTGAAATGTATATATTTTCATTGGTAGAGGTAATTGCCTAGTTTCCTAAAGTTTACTTTAGAGGGAAAATGTTTTGCATAATTGACTCTCTTTATGCGAATTATGTTAGCTTTTTTAGCACATTTGTGTGTTCTGCTTTAAATTTCAAGAAGTGACTGGTATGGCTTTCTGGAAGAGGCGGATAGTAGTGGCAGAGGCAAAGGCCTGTGACACATTGTTTGAATCTTATTAACCTCTTTGTAATTTTCTATAAAGAGATCTTATACAGCTTTAAATAAATTTATTCTTAGATATTTGGCATTTTTGATGCTCTCGTAAATGGTATCTTTTAAAAATATTTCACTTTCTGTTTGGTGTATAGACATATAATTGATTTTGCATATAGCAACTTTTGTAAATTTTCTGATTAAGTCTAACACTTCATCTCTAAATTTGTTTTAGATTTTCTATGTATGTGGTAGGATAACTGACAAATAATGACATTTATATTTCTTCCTTTTCAGTTCTTTTGTTTCTTTCTTTTAAAATAAGTTTTATTGCTGTATAATTTACAATATATAAATAAAACACTGATTTTTTTAAAGTGTACAGTTAGTTAATTTTGACAAGTGTACAGTTTAGTAACCACCACCACGGCTGTGACGTAGGAGATGTCCACAGTCTTGGCCCGTCCTCGCCACATGTGCTGGTAGACCAGTGCTTCGCCCTCTCTAAAGCTCTAGCACTTTCTGTCAGTTCAGCTCCCTTCTCGCCAGGGTTGTCTCCTACAGACTCTGGTTGCCTTGTCCTCCCTGAGCTCCTGTCTGCGTCTCCACGCTCAGGGGGGTCTGAGGGTCCTGCACTCCCCTTGTGCTGTGCCTCGCGACCTCGTCTCCCGGCGCACTGGGGAGACTGGAGAGCTCCGCACGCTTATTTCTCTTCTCAGTGATCACAGTTCTGTCCTGCCTGTCATTCAATGCCTGACAACCTTTTTCATATATTCATTGCCCAAGTTTCTACTTATTTAAAGTGGGAGGGTAAGTCCAATCCCAATTACTACGTCATGGCTGAAGATAGTAGTCTTTGTTTTCTTTCTTTCACTTTTAAGGCCTGGCTGCACTGGGTGGGACTTAGAGTATTTTGTTGGATAGTCAGTGGTGATAGTGGGCATCCTTGCCTGTCCTGCCTCCAAAGGGAAAGCTTTATTTTTACCGTGTATTGTGCTGCTTTCTTTTTTTTTAAGTTAGAATAAGGAAATTCCTTTATATTATTAGTAAGACATGTTTTTTTTTAAATCAGGAATAGATATTATCAGATTTTCTTTTTTGCATTCTGTGGAGAAGATTATAGTTTCCTCCTTTAGTCTTTAATAAGGTGAGTTACAGTAACTGATTTTTCTATTCGTAAATTAACCTTGCAATCTTGGATACCATTTGGTATTCTTTTTACATTGTGCTATGTTTGATTTCTTTTTTTTTTTTAGTATTATTGCATCTTATGTTTATAAGTGAGGTTTTCAACCTGTATTTACCTCTTATAGTGTCTCTCTCTTTTTTTCTATCAAGGTTATATTAGCCTTCTAAAATGAGTTTTGGGAGTTTTTTAGTCTATTTTCTGGAAAAATTTGTATAAGATTAGAGTTATTTTTCCTTGGAATGATTGGTGGAACTCACCAATAAAACCATCTGCGCCTGGGGGCCCACCCGGAGGTGCAGCAGTTAAGTTCTCATGCTCCGCTTCATTGGCCTGGGGTTCACTGGTTCAGATCCTGGGCGCAGACCTACACACCGCTTATCAAGCGGTGCTGTGGCAGTCGTCCCACATATAAAGTAGAGGAAGATGGGCACGGATGTTAGCTCAAGGCTAATCTTCCTCAGCAAAAAGAGGAGGGTTGGTGGTAGACGTTAGCTCAGGGCTAATCTTCCCCCAAAACAAACAAAAACAAAAAAAATCTGGGCCTGGAGTTTTCTTAGAAGATTTTGAGTTACTAATTCGTTTTCTTTAATGATTATAGGACAATTTAGAATCATTTTTTGAGACAGTTGTGATGTTACAATTTTCCAGGAATCTGTCCATTTCATCCAAATTTTCAAATAGATTTACTTAAAAATATTCATAATCTACTCCTAATATCTTTTTATTGTCTACATCATCTGTAACAATGCCTGCATTTCCTTTTCTGATACTGGTTTTTATGCTTGTTTTCTTTTCTCCCTGATCAGGCTCGACAAAGCATTGTCAGTTTTTTTTGGTCTTTTCAAATTTGAGCTTTATTGATCCTCTTAATTTTATACTTTTTGTTTTCGCATTTCATGAATTTCTGCTCTGATATCTATAATCACCTTTCTTTGGGTTTTGATCTAATTTTTCATTGATTCTCAGCTTTATGCATTTGAGATTATAAATTACCCTCTAAGTATGGCTTTAAGTGCATCCCACAAGTTTTAATACATAGTATTTTTCCAAATTTCAATTAATTTTTAATTTCTACTTTTATTTCATCCTGAAGAGTCAACACTGTTATTATTATGTAATGGCCTCTTTTTCTCTTGGAATGCTTCTCGTGTTAAAGGCTATGTTGCAGATTTTAGTGTAGGTATATCAGCTTTCTTTGTATGCTGTACTTTTTCTACCTCTTTGCTTTCAACCTTTCTGTACCCTTGTGCTTTATATATGTTTCTTATTGAACATATGTGTTTTCATTTTAAAATCCTCTCTGACAGTGCTTATCTTTTAATTTGCATTTAGTTCATTCGCATTTCGTTAATGTAGTTACTGATATATTTAGGTGTAAATTTATCATCTTAGTTTGCGTTTTCTGTTTGTCCTGCTAGTTCCACATTTCTTTTTCCTTTCTTGCTGGATTTCTCTTCTTTTAGTTGTTACCCTAGAGATTATAAAATGTAATCTCTAACCTAATCAAAGTTCAAGATGAATTAATATTGGTACTTGTCCTTAATGATACAGATGGACAATAAAATGGAATTTTGAACACTTAAACTCCATTAACCCCATCTTCTTACTTACCCTGTCATGTGTTTTATCTCTCTTGTGGTTAAAAAACCACAAGACATTATTATTATTACTTAATGTGGCCAATATTTATTAACCTCTTAACCAAAAATCCCTGTTTTTCTCTCATAATTGACATTTTAGTAGGGTACACCATTCAGGGCAGGTGCTTATTTTCTTTTTTCCCATTGAAGATACCATTCCACTGTCTCCTGGCTTCTGTTTTACTGTTGAGAAGTCAGCTGTCAGTCTTTCTCCTCCTTCATAGTACTCTCATTTTTTCCTCCAGTGTTTTTAAGATCTTTTTGTTTTTCTCTAGTTTTACCATGGTGTGTATGGTTTTTTAAAAAAAATTTCTAATTTATCCTGCTTGTCATTTGTTTGGCTTCTTGAATCTGAGTAGTGTCATCAATTCATTAAAAAAATTGAGTCACCGTCACTTTAAATATTGCTTCTGCCCCTTTGTCTGTCTCCTTTCCCTCTGAAACTTTGATGAAATGTATGTTAGGCCTTCTCATTATGTCTTCCATGTCTCTTACTCTTAATCTCTCTTCATATTTCTATCTTTTTTTCTCTCTATTACTTGCTGGATAATTATTTTTGATTTATCTTCCAGTATACTAATTCTGTCTTCAGCTTTGTCTAATATGCTGTTAAACTAATCCATTGAGTTTTCATTTTGGCTATTTGTGTTTTTCAAATCTGTGCATTTTGTGTGGTTCATATGCATATCTATAGGATCAGTTTTTATCACTTTACTATTCCCAGCATGTATATTCAAGTTTGTTTTTTCTTTCTTTTATCTCTATTATAATTATATAATTCCAGTATATTAAAATTTTGCAATTATTTTTCTGATGTCTGTTTTTTCCTTTGGTTCTCCTTCATTGTGCTTTTTCCTTTGCTTATGTGCCTGGTTATTTTTTATTATAGTTCTCATGATCTTTAAAAAATTATTTTTAGAGATATTCTGAGGTTTAAGATGAAGATGTGTTCCTTTGGAAAGATTTGAATTTGCTTAAGTTCAGCCCCTCTGGGCATTAATACTCTGAGGATCCCTAAGCCTCTTTCATGGCTTGTGGTTCCCAGAATCAAAGAGGCATTGTGAACCTGGGTTGCAAATATTTGCAAGAACTGACCCTGTGGCCACAAGTTCTCAAGGATGGGATTTTTTTATTCTTTTCTTTTCTTTTCCTTACTTAATTTAGTGCCGGGGCAACCTTCCCTACAGATCCTTGAGGAGGGGGAGGAATCATAGGTTTACTTCTAGTTCATTCTTACCCTAAAGGTGCAAGCTTTTAGGATGTCACTTATTGTGGGGAGGCAGCCTCTCATTAGATTTCTGTCTTATGTGAGCCCTGTGCTGTGAGTCCTTCAGGAACAAAGCCCAAGAACTGGATTGACAGGTGACCTCAGGATGAAACTATCCTTGATGCTTTTAGTGCAGGGGTTAGTAAACTTTTTCTGTAAAGTGCCAGACAGTAAATATTTCAAGCTTTACAAGACACGTGGTCTCTGTCCAGCTGCACAGCTCTGCCATTGTAGCACAAGCAGCCATAAACAATACATAAACAAATATACATGACTGTATTTCAGTGAAACCTTAATTACAAAAACAGGCATCAGCCTGGATTTGGCCCATTTACTGACCCCCACTCTAGTCCTCTACTTACTTCTCTCAGTTTCTATTCTCTTCAAATTTGACCTGGTTAATTTCTTACCACTTTAGAGTACTTTAATTTTTTTCTCTTTTCTTTTTTTTTGGTGAGGAAGATTCACCCTGAGTAACATCCATTACCAATCTTCCTCTTGTTTTGCTTGAGGAAGATTTGCCCTGAGCTAACATCTGTGCCAGTCTTCCTTTACTTTGTGTGTGGGATGCCTCCACAGCATGGCTGATGAGTGGAGTAGGTCCACACCCAGGATCCGAACCTGCTAACCTGGCCACCAAAGCAGAGGACGCAGAACTTTAACCACTCAGCCACAGGGCCAGCCCCTACTTTGATGTTTTTAAGGAGGTGATTTTTATATTTTAAGCCATTGCCTTTCATTTCATCGAAGGAGTGAGTCTGCAATTTACTGGGAATGGAAACCTAGGGCAATTACTGTGGAAGAATTCCTAATGGTTTATTATTTATTTAGAAGGAAATGTTTATGGTTTTTATTTATGAAAAGCATAATGCAAAGCATTCACACAGAGGAGCATTTATGGCTGTTTATTTAGGTCATATTACTGATATATTTTAAGTCATTAATAAAAGCTTTTCTGGAATTTTTATGTTAGATATGCACTCACAGATTAATTTTTACCATTTTATTATTTAGGAGGGAATCGTGTTAGGCCGCATTTGGATGGTTTCCCAAGGATGATATGCCTAATAGTGAACACTGGTGTTCTTAATAGTCCGCCTGAGAAAATGCAAGGTATTAGGCTAGTTGTTGTGGGGAACACAGAAGTGTAAGATGCCGTCTCTGTCCTCATGTTGCTTACCATGTGCACGGTGAGAACAAGGATTCTGAGTTTAAAAGAAGTGATGTTCCTCAAGGACTAGAAGAATCAGGCAGCTTTATAGAAAGGCTCAGTTCTGTACAGATTTATTGAGTACCTCAGCCACACAAGGTACTGCCCTACTTGGGCTACAAAGACACTTATAAAATTGTGAGTCCAGGGAATTTGACAGGGGAACTGTTTGCTGTTATTTTCACTTGGAAACCAAGATTTGCTTAATGAGAATGGTTAAGAGTAGAAAGTTGAGTTGCATAGGCAGTGATTTAGCACATCATAATGAAGTGGAACATTCACAGACTAATCTTAAAACCAGATGAGCACAGTGCTCTGCATGTGCACTGTGATATGATTGGTGTCTTGAAGGATGAATAGAAGGAAATGAGAATGCCTGCAGTCCTGGTGAGATGCTCTCCTCTGATGTGTGCCCTTCCTCCTGGCTACGTTAATGCTTTTCGTGCCTGACAAATCTGATTTAAGAAGCAAGAAGCCATGGAATTTGACTTAAATATCTTTTAAGTTATTGATACTCCTGCCTTTTCTCAGCTAAATAATATGCCACATCTAGTCAGACGCCTAGCCTCGTTCAGGAGTCTGGAATGTATGAGAACCTTTGTCAGAAAGGGATCTAGTGGTTGAATGAATGTGAGGATGAACCAATATAAATTCAAGACCATTTCTATAAAACAATTTAAAGCACAGGTTGTCGTGATGGTTTTAAAGTACTACCTTTATACATGCATGTTCTGTACAATTTGTTTTATAACTGAAGTTATCTGTTTAGCATTGATATTAACTTTATTAACTGGTGAAAATCCAGATCTCAAACTTTGGACTTACACAGATATCATTAAGGTAGCATGAATATGTTACATTAAATATTTAAATAATTACTTTTTCAGCTACCAGCCAATAGTTGACTACATAGATGCTCAGTTTGAGGCTTATCTCCAAGAAGAGCTGAAGATTAAGCGCTCCCTCTGTACCTACCACGACTCCCGCGTCCACGTGTGCCTCTACTTCATCTCTCCCACAGGCCACTCCCTGAAGACGCTGGACCTCTTAACCATGAAGAGCCTCGACAGCAAAGTGGGTTTGGAAAAGGAGTCAGCTTAGAATCCTTTAATATTTATTTTGAACTATTAAAATATCTTTATGATATACATAGATCATAAATGTTTTATTCTGTGCATTTTTAAAATACTTTATGAGCTGCAGTCTTAGGTTATTTTCCAGAGATGTTCAGTTTGGAAGATGAGATGCAAAGAAAAAAACGTTAACATCAAATTTTTGTGATTAAATTGCATGCCAGAATATGGGTATCATTTAATGTTTTTTAAATATAGAATTTATTTGACATTAACTTTATGACACTATTAAGTGGGAAGAAGTTCACTGACTGACAAAGACTAAGGTCTAATGTTTCGTCATATATTATAATAAGTTATATTGTAATTTGAACTATACCAAGAAAACTTATTTTTGAATTTTTGAGCCAAGGAGCTATATATAAATTTAGGGAGCTATAAAAAAATATTATCCACAGATTAACTCACTTCAGGCTTTTTTATTTGTTTAAAAGATCATTAAGGACTATCTTATACTAAAAAAATCTTCAGAGTTTTCTTGTAACCTCTGGTGGTGTGAGAAATGCAGCTTCCGTTTTCTGGGCCAGTTGTTTATGAGCTGGGATTCAGAAAGCCGGGGCGCTCTGGCACCACTGCTCTCTGTAGAAATCGGCATGGGAAGCATGGGGTTGCTGGCGAGGTCTCGCTACGTGGACTGATTGACTTCAATGAGTTGTTCAGTCCACTGGCTGTAGCAAAACTTGATGAAGCTTGTATGAGAGACTGTTCATCTCCTTAGATGTTCTAATCATTTAGCCAGTTGTTTTCTTAGTTTTCTGATTATATGGAAATTCATATTTATTAAAGGAACATAAAAACAAGAGTGTGCAACTTTGTCTTAGCTAGACAGAAGTAATGTGATGTAGTTTGTGTAAAAATCATGGACTTTGGTGTCACTGGAGGCTGGTTTTAAATACTGCCTCTGTCACTTAATAGCTGTGTGCTCTTGGGCGTTTCTTTAGTGCTCTGAGCCTCAGTTTCCTTACCTCTAAAATAAACAGTAGGGAGAATACCTGCCTCAGGGGGAAGATGTGAGGATTAATTGAATTGATAGTTTGTCTTGTTCCTAAATGCAGAACACTCCACTGCTTAACCTGGAAAGTTGCCTTATCTTATGCCAGTAGTGGCAGGTTGCCATCAGTGAGAGCCTCTGTTACTTTCCCTCCCCTGACAGACAGACGACCACTGTGTTCACATTCAGTCTAGTTGTGTCCTCCCAGCCTGGTGATAGTGACGGTCTTGGCTAGGAAAGCCCGAGGCACTCCCTGACTGTATTTCCTCATAGCCAGCCCCACAGGCCTTCCCCTACCACCACTGGGGCCAGTGTCTGAGCTGGGCCAGCCTTTGTGGTTCTTTTGTTTGTTTGTTTTTGATGAGGAAGATTGGCTCTGAGCTAACACCTCTTGCCAATCTTCCTCTTTTTGCTTGAGGAAGAGTTACCCTGAGCTAACATCTGTGCCCCGCTTCCCCTATTTTGAATGTGAGTTGCTGCCACAGCATGGCTTGATGAGTAGTATAGGTCTGCGTCTGCGATCCAAACCCGCGAACCCCACTGAAGTGTAGTGCGCTGAACTTAACTACTGTGACACCAGGCAGGCCCTTTTGTGGTTCTTACTATGATCTCTAGTTGCGCTTCAGTAAGAAACCATCGGGGAACTTTGAAGGACAAGATTTGTTACTTACAGATCCTGGAGGGGACACAGCACACCCAGGGCCACACAGTGAGGTCAAAAGTAGAGAGAGGTGAGGGGAGTGCCAGCCTGTTCTCTGCCTTTATTAAAGTCTGAGGGTGGGGTGTCTAGGGTTTCGCAGGTTCACTGTTTATTGGCAAATTTAAAGCCTAAGAACAGGAGTTCAGGTGTGGGAAGGGAGAAGTGGAAACCGTCAAGCAGTCAGTTATCTGGGTCTCCCAGACTTTCTGAAAGGGAACTTCGTGGGTAGGGATGGCCGGCTTCCTCATCCAGTTGGTTTGCTAGTAGCTGTGTCATACAACTGGCAATGCGTTTATTCGAGATGGATGTCTTTGAAATGAATACCTCGGCAACCCAAAGCTTAATGTCAGGCACTTTCATTACAATCAAAAAGCTTCATGTCAGGCACTTAGCTACAGCCTGCTTCTGCTATTTACTGTGGAAGCAATTATGAGTTATTAACTTGACATAATTTATGGAATATCTTAGTATATAATATTGAAACCAAGAACGTGGCATCAAATTTTTATGTACTTTGATTAATTGCATGTGAAACCTTTTTACCCACAATTGTTGGAAACTTTTCTGCCATTTATTTCATGGATAGTTGGGAAAATCTTTATGTCCTTTGGAGCATATTTAAGACTAATAAATCCAAATGTATGTAGTAAATCAGTGTGAAATTGAGAAAGAAATTTAAGAACAGAATAGGAATTAGAATTTTTGCTTTTCACTTTCATTCTGAAAATTACATTGATGGCTCACCCTTTTGACATATATGACTAGTTAGCCTGAAGTTTTCACTAAAAACAAAGTAAATAAACGAAAAACATATAAACCCCTGAATTTGTGGAGATAGTCTTTTGTGGGGACGTTAGTCTTATAGAACTGGCTTTACAAGTTAGTCGGTCTTCATGACCCCAAATCTCTCCCTCTGTGGCCAGTGATAGGACTTTAAATAATACTGAGAGAGTTATTCTTTTGAGTCTTAAACACTTTTAGTTAATATTCATAAAATTTCCTTCCTTCAACATCTAGGTGTAAGAGTCTGTGACAACGGGGTCCAGAGCTGATAGATTCATTGGGCAAAGGGGACCTGCTGAAATGAGAGGCAGAAGGAGAAACTTCACCTGTTTCATAGCTTTGCTAAGGGATCAGTCACCCTAATTACTTAGTGCTTAGATTATTAAGAAATAAAAAAATTCTTACTGAGTTAAGCAGGTGATTTCAGCTTACTGCTTATATTTTACTTATTGTGTGTGTAACAGAATCATAAGAAACTTTGAGAGAAGAAAATGTGAGATTTCTAAACCTAAATTCAGATGAAAGATTAATGTTATAAGAGCTCTGGGGGTTTTTTTCCTGAGGAAGATTCACCCTGAGCTAACGTCTGTTGCCAGTCTTCCTCTGTTTGGTATGTGAACCACCATCATAGCATGGCCACTGATAAATGACTGGTGTAGGTCCACATCCGGGAACTGAACCCAGACTGCCAAAGAGGAGCGTGCCAAACAACCACCCGGCCACTCCGGCTGGCCTAAGAGCTCTGCATTTTAAAGGCAGTTATTGTAAGGCCAGCATCTGTAGGAATGATTGTATAGGGGTATAGGTAAGAATGACAGCCAGTGATTATCTAGGTCAGGAGTCAGCAAGCTTTTTCTCTGAAGGACCAGGTAGTACATACTTGAGGCTTTGCAGGCTGCATGGTCTCTGATGTAACTACTCATCTTTGCTATTGTAGCATGAAAGTGGCCATAGAGAATATGTAAATGGATGGGCCTAGCTATGTTCCAATAAATCTTTATTTATATAAACAGGCAGTGAGCTGGACTGTAGTTTGCCCATCCCCTGATCTAGGTTAAGGAAACTTGTCAGAGACTGAGTGGTTTTGAATGCAAAATCTACAGGGTGTAAAAAATAAGTCCTCAGTTATGAGATTTTGTTTTCCTTTATTCTTAATAGGTGAACGTTATACCAGTGATTGCCAAAGCAGATGCAATTTCTAAAAGTGAATTACATAAGTTTAAGATCAAGCTCATGAGTGAATTGGTCAGCAATGGTGTCCAGATATACCAGTTTCCAACAGATGATGAAACTATTGCTAAAATCAATGCTTCAATGAATGTAAGCTCCTAATTGAATATTAATTTTGTTTTACATGTGAAAAAAAAGTAATTCGTAAGTAACATTGCTACTAAGTAACATTTTTACTTATGTCTTCCAAAAAGACTTTAAACAAGATGAATTTTCAAACTGTCCAGGATGGGAAGATGTTTTGTTTTCTAGAGTTGAAAGAAAGTATAATGAGAATATATTTTTGAGCATATTTTCTTTCCTCCCTACTCTCACCTAAATAAAGCGATAAATTTGTGAGACTGCGAATCACCTTTTTGGAACCATACTTAATTGCCGTAGAAAGATGCCTTTCTATCCTGCCTTTAAAAACATGAGAAGACAGTATAACCTCCTGTAGAATGCTGTATAATCTTGACATCTTTAAGGAGATCTTTCTAATCTGGTATTTGAGCTCATTCCCCCTTACAGGGTCACATGTACATATCAAGCATTCACATAACTTTTAGTTTAGTATAATTGAAGATGACTAAGTTCTTTGTGTTCCTTTCTCAGGCTATTAAATTTCTTATATATCTGGTTATATTTTGAAGGATCATGGGTTTTGGAGTCAGACGGACTTAACCGTCTGTTCTTGTGGGAGTTATTAACCTCCCTGAGACTGTGACTTCATCTACATAATTGGGTCAATAATACGTATCTTAAGGGTCATTGTGAGGATACAGCCTTTGTTCACTGCCTAACACAGTGACATTCAGTAACTATTCATTCCATTGTTTTTCTTTTCCTTTTCTGATTTTTCATACTCCATTTTACTTAAACTAAATATATAAAAAGCTGGCTAATGTAAATGATTGATCTTAATTCTTATGTGTTAAATTATCTCTAGATCTAGTTTTATTTCTTGTGCCCACGTGGAATAATCGTTTAGAAAGGCACAATTAAGAGACTAAGTAATGTCAATTATTAAATATTAAACATAACACTTAATACTTTTTACATTAGACTTTTCACCTGTGTTAATCCACAGCTTCAGACAGACCAATCTACTCACTGCCCCTAAATCTAGCTATTGTATCTTGTTCAAAATCTTCTCCTTAGTTAGTTCTTCCTACTCTGATTCATCTCCAGTTTGGGTGGTATCTTCCTGCTCACAGTGATCTCACTCCTCTAAATTTCTATAACATTTACTTTATTTAGCATTAGTTTGGAACGTAGATATTACCTTGTATTAGTATCATATATCTAAACACACACTAAATATAGATATATACTTTAGTTATATAGTATGTGTGTGTGTGTGGATATTTCCTCAACATTATCTTTATCTTTTAGGGTAAAGATAATATTGAAGGAAATGATACCTATACTAGAATTCTTGCTTCTTTTGTATTCTTCTAGCATAATGCCTTGCATGTGGGGGATGCTCAGTAAACAATTTTTTTTGTAGGGCCTGGAAATGACTCTTGCAGAATAGTTGGCACGTATTCACTGCCAAGTTTTAAAATCTGAGTCGTAGCAGATCATTTGATTTTAATATATTTGTTATTTAATAAATTTTCTCTTCTCTGTTATTTTCATAAAACTTTTTAGGTAGGCCTTTATCACATTGGTATGAAATGTGATGGGTATCATGGTTCCTTTCCAGGGACATCTGCCATTTGCTGTTGTAGGAAGTATGGATGAAGTAAAAGTTGGAAATAAGATGGTCAAAGCTCGCCAGTACCCTTGGGGTGTTGTACAAGGTAAATGAGATAAACAGTAACTAGAAATAGGTATGTCGCCTAAGAGTCTGAAAGAGGCATATAGTACATTCTTTGAGATGATGCTTATTTTGGATCATGGTTGGTCATCAGAAGGGTTGACTATCTAGAGGCTGGCAGAGCCTCCCCATGTCGTACATCCTGCCACACACACGTTCCCTGCCCAGGTGCGCCAGACAGTGCATCCAGCACTGGCTGGATCCTTTAAACAAATTGGAGTGTAAATGGCAGTGTCAGCATGCTGCATAAACTAATTACTAGGTAATTCCTAGGGCACAATAAACCATCTTGTAAATTTATGTATTTTTACTCATCCAAATGTTGCCAACTATTTCCAAACCAAACTAGTCAGCCAACGAAAAATTTTAGGATTTATCTAACATTATAATGAGGAAGTGATTAGTACTACATGGTTCATTTACTTGTGATGCTAATTAATGGGGGGTGAATTACCCCTACTAGGACTAGTTTTGCAATGCTGCTTTTTTTAAATTGACAAATTTTGTAATTAATGAAAAATATTGACAAAACTTGAGACATTTTAATGTATAAAAATGTAGAAATAATAACTGTACTTAAAACTTTTGGTCACAGTGACATATTTATTTGTAATCATCTGGTCAGTCTAAGCATAGAAGGAGAGCCATGTAAGTTTATTCACTAATTTTGAATAGTGTCTAACACAGGATCATAAATGTGGCATTATATAAAAAGAATTTGATATTTATAGCATACACAGATGGTATTTTTGAGAATGTAGAATTTACTACTTTGAAGTTTTAGTGAAATAATGTTATATACTCTTTTTAAGTACTGTGTGAAATGTCCGGAGGATGGTTTGTAAACTAACAGAATATTAGTGAAATAACTGGAGCATATGGCAACATAATATAACATATTTCTTTCCTATTTCCTGTTTATCCATTGGCTACTAAATTTAAAGGAAATCTCCCAGTCTGTTAATTAACATTACCTATAATTCACAGGGTATAATGCAAGAGTTTCTTCCTGGTTACTTGTATAAAACAGTTGCAGCTATTAATTAGACTGATCATTTTGCTGTTTTGTTATTTAAAGTGTGTTTTCATTTATTCATTCATTCATACTAATTGTGTGTCAGGAATTAAGAATGGGTGTTACTGTTTTCTTGTTTTTCCGGCTAGTGGAAAATGAAAACCATTGTGACTTTGTAAAGCTCCGGGAAATGCTCATTTGTACAAACATGGAGGATCTGCGAGAACAGACCCACACGAGGCACTATGAACTTTACAGGCGTTGCAAACTGGAGGAAATGGGCTTGACAGATGTGGGCCCAGAGAATAAGCCGCTCAGGTAAGTGGGGATTTCTCTGAGAAACCAACGAAGGAAGAAATGAGAGAGGATTGTACCTTTTTATATATCCAGGACGATGGAAAATGTGTTTCCCAGATATCTCCCAAACCTGAAGTAGAATCATTTTATAATGGTTAATTATTATCCTTCTCAAATCGCTTGAAACGTGTTTGCTTTTGAAGCGTCTCTAAGACCTCATCTGACTCTAAGAGTTCAGTAGAAGGAACAACATACAGCAAAAGCCCATATTTCACTACATGCCGAAATGAATAACTGAAGGAAAAACTCACATTATCTGGTTTTATTTTTGTATTTATCTGAAAAACATGGAAGTATCTGTTATTATAAAAGAAGATTGAAACTGGAATTATAGTAAACTAAAAAACAGTTGGTTTTTATCCTGATGAAAGTTTTGGAATGACTTAAACTTGGGAAAATATCTTGTGAAGGAAGAATGAAAGTACTCATAGGGAACCAGAGATTAGACTGTTTCTCAAAATATTATAATAGTAGTTACAAGAATTTTAGACCTTGATGACCTTCTTGCTCAGTGATTAAACCACTAAATGTTGTTATAAACTTGCTAGGTAATTTTATCTGCTACTACATTCCTGAGTTGATTTTGATTAAGATATGTAAACATGAAACTAATCCTTAATGTACTAAATCAAATTTGACTTGATGGATCATTCCAGAACAACTTTTGCATGGAGGAAAGCATGAGATCCTTAGGACAAACACTATTTTAAACTCCGCTGTGAGACTAAGGATTCCTTTTCCATTCCATTATTTGCATTTCAGTCATATCCCTAGCTCTTAGTATTTGTACCAGAATAAACACAAAAGGATAGAGAAGGAGAACGTTAAATCGATGCTCTTCTCGCGTGTGACTTTTGGAAAGATTTAGTAATAGATGAGGTTAAATTTTTTCAGTCTATGTATTTAATTAGTGTTTTAGCTCTAGTAGCATAATAAATTAAGAATTATATGTACATAACCCTCCCTCACCAGTTTCCAGCATACTCTGCTTCCGGTTATGGGCCAGCTTTGGTAAAATGATTGTGTTCTCTATTGTGGATAAATCTTCTAGAGTTGGCTTCTCTGGTGTCTGCCAGAGAAGGCTTTGCTTCTCGCTCTTTCAAGTCTGAAGGTCAGTTCAGCGGTCTCTGTGTGCATTAATGAGGCACAGATCCTGAGTGAGAGCAAGTGGGACAGTCTTCAGGTTCTCCAAGACAATGGCTTCAGATTGCCTGGTGGGTCACTCATCAGTCACCTTTGACTAGACAGGGATGGAGCCTAAGAATCTGCATTTAAATTAAAATTCCCATTCATCGTTCACTAGATTTTTACTGTTTGTCTACCATCTGCCCCACATGATGCTAGTCACTGGTGACAAATAAAAATGGCAAGTAATAGGATATATTGGAATATATGAGGAAGCCATTTGGTGTAAACCTAATTCGGCCTGACCTTGTCTTTCCAAAAGGGCCTGACCGAGGCCGTTGAGCATGCATTGTGTATCTGCTTTAGAGATTCCCTATGGCAAGAGCAAAGGCCCTTGAGATAAAGGTGCAACTTCCCTCCCCCTCCCAACGATGGCATTCCCTTAAGGATTAAGCATCTTTCCTTAGCCTAGAAACTGATTGCTGCGCTCACCTGTGACCGCCCAGCTCGAGACAATAGACTTGCCTCCTGCTCTGCCCACCAAAATAGCAGACCCACTACCTGCTGTGTCCATCAAGTGCTGTGCCGACAGGGCAATCTTGTGACTATTGTGGGAGGGACATTTCAATCATATGTGAAACACCCTCTTTGAGGGTATATAACCACCCTGTGTACCCCCACTTCTTTGGAGTGCTCTGTTCCTTTGTGGAAAGACTCTCCCGGGTTATAATCCTAAGATTTAAGCTCAGAATAAACTCACCCAAATTTTCATTTATGGATTATTTTCGTCAACACTGGGTATATATGTGCTGTGGGATTAAACAAGACTCTACCCTTGTAGAGCTTCTGGGGTGGGGGTGGGAGGAAGACACTCTGGCCCTGTGAGGAGCATAGAGTATGGGCGGTGGTCAGAAGTGGAAATGAGGACTCCCACTTAGGAGGCCACTGTAGCAGTCCAGGCATGAGAACACAGAGGCTTGGGGGGGGGGGGTGGCAGAGGTGGTCAGGAGCATATTTAGGATAAGTAATTTGAAATTAAAGTTAGTAGGACTCACTGACGGTTTGGATATGGGGTGTAAAGGAAAGAGAGGAATCCATGATGACTCCAGTATAGTTTTTGACATGAGAAACTAGGTGAGTGGTGGTGATGTTTATTGATACGACCAAGTCTGAGGAAGGAGTAGATTTCAGGGGTTGTGGTTGGTAATTGAGAGGTTTTTGGACATGTTAAATGTAAGTTGCTGATAAATATCAGGTAAAGAGTTTGAGTAGGTTACTACATAAGTGAATCTCTTGGGGTTAAGTTAGGGCTGAGATAATTTGGGAGTCAACAGTGAATAACACTGTATAAAATCATAAGTATTTTTAAAGTGTCTACTCTTTGCAAGGCTCTGGAGATGTAATACCAAATAAGATCCTATAGTCCTGGCTCTCATGGAGTTTACATTCTTATAGGGGAGGCTTTCACATTTGTGAATCAATTACTTGATAAAGGTTCTATAGTTTATTATAGCCTGATGATGTCTTAGGAAAGTTTTACTTTTATAGATTTAACAAGTTATATTCTATTCTCTTGGGGACTCTTCCCCATTTAATTGGAGGTGTACATAAGAATAGTCACTATGATTTGATTGGCATGTAAAATCTGTCCCTCAATGTTATATCTATCAATAAAAAAATAGTTATGTGAACCTGTTAGAATGTCTGTCCTTTATTTCTCTTTAATTATTTAAATTATATGAAACTTGCTTTTATAAACCTTCTTAAATCCCCAGGTTATTTTAGATTAACATAACCAATCTTGTTCCCACAGTTAGTCACCTTTAACATTTTGAGTACCAAATCACTGTCACTGAAGTGTTGTGGCACCTGTAGTTTGGAAAGAAAGATCTTCGTAGTATTTTAGAGTTGCTCAAGTGTTTGACAGTTTTTTGTGTCAGCGAATTTTGTGTCTTTGGAACTCTCAAGAAATAAATAGTTATTAACTTTCTGCATTTAGTTTACAGTAGAAAAGGAAAAAGTTCACCAGGCTTATTAGAACTATACGTAAAGCACAAAGAGGTCCTAAGTGAAGGGACCAGAGTGATTTTCTTGATGAACACGAGCATCTGAGAATTTTTTTTTCTCTTTTATTTTCCACTTTGTGTTGTCAATGATATTTGCAACTATAGTAGTATGTTGCATTAGATATTCATGACAGCAAGCTACTTTTATACTAGAAATGGGAGTAGGATAGCAAGGAAACTTTTTATTTTCATTTAATAAATAAATCCTTGATAGTAAACAATGGTTGCATTAGTTTTACGACAGTTACTATATAACCCATTCCCTTTCAGATGTTCTGAGTTTCTTTACGACCTTTTGAAAGATAGTGCAGGTTTCTTTACGTGCAGTTCTGACTTTATAAATTGACGTGGTCAAAGTTGGAAAGCAGTGTGATGTGATGCAAATTACGCAGGAGCAGTCTCTCACTTTTGTATCTTCTGCTGAGACTTGACTTCAGGACAGTCTTGTGGTGGTTAGGAATGCGGGCCTTGGAGCAAGGCTGATCTGGCTCAAATCCCAGCTTTTTACTTACCAACTATGTTACTTTGGGCAAATTACTTTACCTCTCTGAGCTTTAGTTTTCTCACCTGTGAAAGAGACTCTCGGTGCTTGTTCTTCGCTGTTGCTGCGGGAATTAGACAGTGAAAGGGGTCCAGAAAGGACCCTGCTGGTGGCAGCTGCTCAGCAGATGTGAGATCTCTCTTTGCCGGATAGACTTGTTTTCCTCCTAAGCAACTCGAGTGCTTGTGTAAATAGATTAATGAGACCCTTTTTTAAAGATTTTATTTTCCCTTTTTCTCCCAAAGCTCCCCAGTATATAGTTGTGTATTTTTAGTTGTGGGTCCTTCTAGTTGTGGCATGTGGGATGCTACCTCAGCATGGCCTGATGAGCGGTGCCATGTCCACGCCCAGGATCCGAACCGACAAAACCCTGGGCTGCTGAAGCGGAGCGGGCGAACTTAACCACTTGGCCACGGGGCTGGCCCCTTTCTTTTTTTTTTTTTAAAGCTTTTACTAATGAGACCTCTTTTAAGCTGACATTTGATATGAATTCAAGACGTTATTTAAACCAAGTTTGTCATTAAAGACTATCAGTCAAGTGTAAGACGAGTGAATGTAGTGAGGTTTCTAGAAATAGTGAAAGTAGCCTCATAGATTTAGAGGCTTCTTTAAAATAAGACTAAACCAACACAGAAAAACAAGAAAGCTGGTGAAAAGTAAAATGCTTCCTTGAGATTTGAGGCATTTATATGGTGATCCAGGGCATTTTGTACATTTATAAGCTTTGCTCTTGAAGACAATGTCTAGGATCTGCTCCTCCTTGGAGCAGCTGCTGTGCATACCACACACTCACATCAGCCTTAACAGCTTTGTGCCGCATTTCTTTACTCTATTGTTCCGTGAACTTACAGAATTCTATACTTAGAAGATTAGTAAACTTCCTCAATTCATCACACTTTAAATCTCCTTAGATATAAAGTGTTCTTATAAGCAGTAGAAATTTCTAATTGTGACGCCACGCCGCTGGAAAGTAGATTTTTGCTCCTTGTTAAACCTCTGGGAGATTCTCATAGTCCTTGCTCTGCCTGATTAAATCTGGCTCTACTTCCCAGCAATTTCTATCATCACATGAACATTTATGAAGAAACTGAAGTGTCTAGAGCCCTGTGGCTAGTCAGCTCACAAAGGTGACGGTCTGTTGGATGAGAGAGGCGAGTAGGGTATAAATGCCAAAGAAGAGGCATAAACAAGGGCCCTGAAGTGCTTGGACGGAGACGAGAGAAGGCTTTCTAGAGGAGGCTGCTTTGGGATTTGGCCTTGAGGGAGAGCCGATTCGCTGGGGGACAAGGGGCTGGGAAGTGGGGAATGGCGTTGAAAGCAGAGACACACCAGACTAAAGCATGAAATGTGTGGCGCATTTGAGGAACAATGAAGAGGTTGATATGACTGGAACCTTAGGGGGATTGGCTTGGTTTGGTAGGAAATGAATCTGGAAACGTAGAATTAGGGCAGACTGTGAAGTATCTTAAGTGCTATTTAAAGGAGTTGAGACTTTATTCTGTAAATAGCAACTGTAATACAGAGAAAAAAGGTAATGAGATTTGTGTTTTTGGTGGAAAATCTTAGGAGAAGAACAAAGTGAAAGAAAGAGGAACTAAAAGTCCAGAAATCTATCAGGAGATTATTGCGGTAGTGAAGGCAGAGAATCACAAAGATAAGTTGGGCTGTAGCGGGATATCTGTACAAACCAAGAGATGACTGGACTTAAATGATGTCAGGGTCACAGGCCTTGGTGATCACATACGGAGATACAGGTAAATGGAGAGTCGGAGGACTTTAGAACCTCAAGGTTTCCAGACACAGTGATGCCAATTAACAAAGACTGAAAGAAGAATTTGTTTGGGGTGAAATGAGAGTACTGCCAGTGAAGGATTTGATAAACCAAAATTTCAAAATCCCGGTACTCTGTATTAACTGTAGCGCTGGTGGCTTTTTATGTCTCATGCTATAGGAGATTTCATGCTTTGAGTTGCTCTCTGTAACAGGATATTGGTACATGTTGTTATAGTTATGAAGCTTAAACCATGATGATTGAGTTGTTGCAAGTTTGTTACATCATCTTTTTAACATGAGAGTACCACAAATAATTTTTTAGTCTTCAAGAGACCTATGAAGCCAAAAGACACGAATTTTATGGTGAACTTCAGAGGAAGGAAGAAGAAATGAAGCAGATGTTTGTGCAGCGAGTAAAGGAGAAAGAAGCCATCCTGAAAGAAGCTGAGAGAGAGGCAAGTACGCTGGTTTGTTGTAATGTGCAGTTAATTTTTAGGTGTCCTATTAATTTGGAAAATTTTCCTCAAGAATTTAGTTGAGATGATTTAGAGATTACTTCTTGTTCTTTAAAAAGTAGCTATTTTAACACATAGTCTGGATACAGACTTTAAAAAAATCGTAGTCTGAAATCAAATAAAAATTTTGACCTTTTTGAGCAAATAGTCTTCACGTTAGATTAGAAGTAGTTTCCCCAAAGACTTGTAATGAACTAGGCTACTGAGAAGTGTTTTAAATGTCTTCACCATGAGCCGGAAATGTTTTAGCTGTGGCTTCACAAAGCCTTTTTTGAGATTTTGAGAGTTGTTGGGATTGTTATTTGCCTGAAATGAGTAGCTATGAAAGCTGTTCAGTAGTTTTTTTAGTTTGAACTCAGGCTTTCTAGATGAGTTACATGGTGGTGTTGCCCTTTGGATAGCCTTGGCACAAAATACATCAGCAGTGAATTTCCATACTTCTGTTTGCTTCCAGTTCTTCAAGCATTAATTTTAATTTTATTTGAGTTAAGCTATTTTCTGTAGGCCTAACTGCAGTCACTACTTCTAAATAAAGTCACATTTAAGATTAGAGTCAAAAAGGATGAGCTGCAAAAAGGAATTTCTAAGAGAAGACAGAAATGTTAACACAAAAGAACTTGATAATATAAGAACTCACGAAGAGTTATTTGTAAAGTAGTTTAATTTTACAAATTTATTATTTCAAATACTTGCTATTTAAATGAACCCTGTAGTAAGTGGTTTTGTAAAATTAATAATCTAATATATCATTTATAATTTGCATTTTGATCTTTTATTTTGAAAAAGTTCAAACAACAGGAAAATGAAAGTACAGGTTACCTGTGTCCCTTCCCCTTCCCACCCCTAGATGTAGTGTTGAATGTCTTGACGTCTTTATTTTGTGTGTGTACGTGTGTGTGTGTTTCCCTGGTCATCTGAGTGCTGGTTGTAGACAGCAGGACACTATCCCTAGGTACTTCAGTGTGCAACTCTGAAGCTTAGGTGCATTTTCATCCGTAGTACCAATATTATATCTAAGAAAATTAATAGGAATGCCATAATCTCACCTACTCTCCAGTCCATTTTCAAATCTTCCCAGTTGTCCCAAGATTGTCTTTTATTGTTTTTTTGTTTGGTGATTTTTTATTTTTGTTTTTGAACCAGAATTCAGTCATAGGTCTCACATTGCATTTGGGTGTTCTGTTTGTTTATAGTCTCTTTTATTTGAGAATAGTCCCTCGTTTGAAATTTGTTTAAAGATAATATTGAGGAAGGAGTTGTGATGAATAGGAAGTAAAGATACTGACTTTTCTTTGAATTAGTAGATTTATCTTTAAGATGGTAGCAGAGTAAAACTCTTAAGAGTTTCTCTCTCATATACCATGATTCTTAGTTTCTCTAACGAGGAGAGAAGATGTTCAAGTGGTTTATAATTGAGTTTTGATTTTTTAAATCCCACATAAAACTATTTACTTAAATGTGTATTATTTAAAAGGAAATTGAAAATTCAGGGTGACCAAATGATTGAAAGAAAAAGAGAAACACTAATTGTCAGTAGATGCTTTGTAGATTTTTATTTTTATGGTTCAAGTGCTTTTTTTGTTGTGGTGGTCATAATAGTTTATAACATTGTGAAATTTTAGTTGTACATTAATATTTGTCAGACACCATATAAGTGTGCCCCTTTACCCCTTGTGCCCACCCTCCACCCTGCTTTGCCCTGGTAACCACTAAATTGTTCTCTTTGTCTGTAAGTTTGTTTATGTTCCATACATGAGTGAAATCATATGGTGTTTGTCTTTGTCTGGCTTATTTCGCTTAACACAATGCCCTCAAGGTCCTTCCATTTGGTTGTGAAGAGACAACTTTGTCTTTTTTTTTGGCTGAGTAGTATTCCATTGTGTATATATACCACATCTTCTTTATCCAATCATCAGTCAGTGGGCACTTGGGTTGCTTCCACGTCTTGTCTATTGTGAATAGTGCTGCAGTGAACATAGAGGTGCATAAGTGTCTTTGTACTGTTGATTTCCAGTTCTTTGGATAAATACCCAGTAGTGGGATAGCTGAGTCATGTGGTATTTCTGTTTTTAATTTTGAGAAATCTCTGTAGCGTTTTCCATACTGGCTGCACCAGTTTGCATTCCTACTAGCAGTGGATGAGGGTTTCCTTTTCTCTACAACCTCTCCAACATTTGTTGTTTTTTGTCTTGGTGATTATAACCATTCTAACAGGCATAAGATGATATACTAAGTATAATTTTGATTTGCATTTCCCTGATGATTAGTGATGTTGAGCATCTTTTCATGTGCCTATTGGCTATCTGTATATCTTCTTTGGAGAAATGTCTGTTCAGATCCTCTGCCCACCTTTTGATTGGGTTGTTTGTTTTTATGTTCATTTGTGTGAGTTCTTCATATACTGTGGCAATTAACCCCTTATTGGATATATGATTTGCAGATATTTTCTCCCATTTGGTGGGTTGTTTTTTCATTTTGATCTTGGTTTCCTTTGCCTTCCAGAAGCCCTTTAGTCTGATCAAGTCTCTCTTGGCTATTTGTCCTTCTGTTTCCCTTGTCTGAGAAGATATGGTATTCGAAAAGATCCTTTTAAATATGACGTCAAAGGGTTTACTGCCTATATTTTCTTCCAGAAGTTTTATGGTTTCAGGTCTTACCTTCAAGTTTTTGGTCCATTTTGAGTCTATTTTTGTGTATGGAGAAAGATAATGGTCTACTTTCATTCTTTAGCATGTGGCTGTCCAGTTTTCCCAACACCATTTATTGAAGAGGCCTTCCTTTCTCCACTGTATGTTCGTGGTTCCTCTGTCAAAGATTAGCTGTCCATAGATATGTGGTTTTGTTTCTGGGCTTTCTTCTGTTCCATTGTTCTGTGTGCCTGTTTTTGTACCAGTACCATGCTGTTTTGATTACTATATAGCTTTGTAATATATTTTGAAGTCAGGGATTGTGAAGCCACTGGCTTTGTTCTTGTTTCTCAAGATTGCTTTGGCTATTTGGGGTCTTTTGTTGCCCCATGTGAATTTTAAGATTCTTTGTTCTATTTCTGTGAAGAGTGTCATTGGGGTTCTGATCGGGATTGCATTGAATCTTTAGATTGCTTTAGGAAGTATGGACATTTTAACTATGTTTATTCTTCCAATCCATGTGCATGGAATATCTTCCCATTTCTTTATGTCATTATCGATTTCTTTCAGTAATGTCTTATAATGTTCCTTGTATAGATCTTTCACCTCCTTGGTTAAATTTGTTCCTAGATATTTTATTCTTTTCATTGTGATTGTAAATGGGATTGTGTTCTTGAGTTCTCTTTCTGTTAGTTTGTTATTAGAGTATAGAAATGCCACTGATTTTTGGAAGTTGACTTTGTACCCTGCAACTTTGCTGTAGTTGTTGATTATTTCTAATAGTTTTCTGATGGATTCTTTAGGGTTTTCTAGATATAAAATCATGTCATCTGCAAACAGCGAGAGTTTCACTTCTTCAGTTCCTGTTTGGTTTCCTTTTATTTCTTGTTCTTGCCTAATTGCCCTGGCAAAACCACCAGTACTATGTTGAATAAGAGTGGTGAGATTGGGCACCCTTGTCTTGTTCCTGTTCTGAGGGATGGCTTTCAGTTTTTCCCCGTTGAGTATGATGTTGGCTGTGGGTTTGTCATGTATGGCCTTTATCGTGTTGAGATACTTTCCTTCTTTACCATTTTATTGAGAGCTTTTATCATGAATGGATGTTGGATCTTGTCAAATGCTTTCTCTGCATCTATGGAGATGATCATGTGGTTTTTGCTCCTCATTTTGTTAATGTGGTATATCACATTGATTGATTTGCGGATGTTGAACCATCCCTGTGTCCCTGGTATGAATCCCCCTTGATCGTGGTGTATGATTCCTTTAATGTATTGCTATATTTGGTTTACCAATGTTTTGTTGAAGATTTTTGTGTCTGTGTTCATCAGTGATATTGGCCTGTAAAAGTTTCCTTCTTTGTGTTGTTGTTGTCTGGCTTTGGTATCAGGGTGATATTGGCCTCGTAGGATGTGTTAGGAATATTTCCATCTTCCTCAATTTTTTGGAATAGTTTGAGAAGAATCTTCTTTGAATGTTTGATAAAATTCTCCAGAAAAGCCATCTGGTCCTGGAATTTTATTTTGGGGAGGTTTTTGATTACTGTTTCAATGTCTTTACTTGTGATTGGTCTATTCAGATTCTCTATTTCTTCTTGATTCAGTTTTGGGAGGTTGTAAGAGTCTAAGAATTTATCCATTTCTTCTAGATTGTCCAGTTTGTTGGGGTATAGTTTTTCATAATATTCTCTAAGAGTTTTTTGTATTTCTGTGGTATTTCTTGTAATTTTTCCTCTTTCATTTCTGATTTTATTTATTTGAGGCATCTCCTTTTTTTGTGAGTCTGGTTAAGGGTTTGTCAATTTTGTTTATCTTCTCAGAGAACCAGCTCCTTGCTTCATTGATCCTTTCTACAGTCTTTTTTGTTTCAATTTCATTTATTTCTGCTCTGATTTTTATTATTTTTCTGCTTCTGTTGAGTTTGGGCTTTATTTGTTCTTCTTTTTCTAATTCTGTTAGGTGTACTTTAAGATTATTTGAGCTTTTCATTGTTTGTTAACTTTCGCCTGTATTGCTATAAATTGCCCTCGTAGGACCACTTTTGCTGCATCCATCTGAGTTGGTATGGTGTTTTCATTCTCATTTGTCTCCAAATATTATTTGATTTCTCTCTTTATTTCTTCGATGACTCATTGGTTGTTCAGTAGCATGTTGTGTAGCCTCCACATTTTTGTTCCTTTCCCAGCTTTTTTCTTGCAATTGATTTCTAGTTTGATAGCATTATGGCTGGAAAAGATAGTAGATATGATTTCAATCTTCTTAAATTTATTGAAGTTTGCCTTGTTTCCCAATATATGGTCTATCCTTGAGAATGTTC